CATTTCTTTTTATATATATATATATATATGTATATATTTTAAAGAAATGCCTGAAATAACAGCCTACGGAACTTAAGGTTTTTGAAATATGGCACTAGTAAGCACAGAAACTGGACTGCTTCCCTGAAGAAGAGTAAAATCAACAGGCTTTTAAGTTTGGTGGAATCTGTCTTTAATCAGGAATCTGTTTGGTCAACTGCTATGGGAGGGCAGTTTTACAACTGATGAAAACCAACAAAAGATGGTAATCAAGTATTCTGGAACATTGTAATGACAAGGAAAAAATGCAGTAAAAGGAGTCAGAAGCTGATTGAACCTAAACAAATTAAAAAGCAAGTAACTGCTCTTACTTTTCTACTTAAACTCTCAATTTCTGTAATAAATACAGAGCAATTAAGTATAAACATATAATAAGCTTTTTCCATCACATGTGTTTTATGATTTAAGCTCAAATAATCCCAAACAAGAAATCAAATTACCAACTTGTCAAAAGACCTGAGTCACATCAATTTCATTTTTCAAGGAGTCATTCAAACATGCTTGTTTAAGTTTTGCACTGTCTAAAAATGAACATCAAAATATGCAGAGGCAAGGAATCTGCTGATGAATTCTGGATATTTTTATGATCTTGAGTATCTTTTCAAATTTCTGTTTAAAGTAATATTAACGAAATATGTAGTATAAAAGTGAAATTCAGAATACAGGGAGATAATCTGCAGCAAGGAAGATGTACCCTTGATGGAAGAGGATCGGATCATAGAATACTTAAGCCAATTAGACATACGTAAACCCACAGGTCCTGATGGGATGCACCCATGAGGTATGAGGGAGCTGGCACATGGCATTGCAAGGTGACTCTTAGTAATCTTTGATCAATCATGGCCACTGGGAGAAGTGCTAAAAGACTTGAAAAAAGCAAATATCACTCCTATCTTCAAGAAGAGCAAGAAGGAGAAACCAGGGAACTATGGCTGGTCAGTCTCACCTCAATCCCTAGGAAGGTGGTGGAGCAGCTAATCCTGGAAACCATTTCCAGGCTCATCAACACCACCAAAAAAATCATCAGAAGTAGTCAGCATGGGTTCACTAAGGGCAAGTCATACTTAACCAACCTGATAACCTTATATGATGAAACAACTGGCCTGATAGACAAGGGGAGAGCAGTTGACATCGTCTACCTGGACTTCAGCAAGGTTTTTGGCACTGTCTCCCCTAAGATCCTCACAGAGGAGCTGTTGATTCATGGGCTGGATGATCAGACAGGGAGGTAGATTAAAAACTGGCTGAATGGCCGGGCCCAGAGGGAGGTGATCAGTGCCACAGTGTCTAGCTGGAGGCCAGTGACTAGCGGTTGTACCCCAGGGGTCAATACTGGGTCCAGTCCTGTTTAACATCTTCATTAATGATCTAGATGATGGGGCAGAGTTCAACAAAGAGAAGTACAAAGTCGCACCTGGGGAGGAACAACCGCAGGAACCAGTATATGCTGGGGGCCTCCCAGCAAGAAAGCAGCTTGCAGAAAAGCACCTGGGGGTCCTGGTGGACTAGATGACCTCCAGAGGTTCCTTCCAACCTCAACTATTCTATGATTCTGTAGTTTTGTGCAAACATCTTTTTTGTAAATCATAGTCTGTGCTCTTATCACCAGTATCACTCATACTAATGCTGACACAGAGGAGGTACTGCTGTCTGGTTCTCCTATTACACGTGAACAAACACACCAGCAGGTGCATTACAGGTACTGACCTTAAAGTGACACACAGTTCTGTTTAGTGGTTTATGGATTTACACATTTAAAGAAAAAAAAAAAATCAAACTGCATATCTTTTATAGATAGATTTTTTGGTCACATCATAAAAGATCCCATTATTCTACCATTAACATCAAAATTCACTGCCCTGCAGCACGCACAACTATTCCTTAAACATAGCTCGCTCTCTTCAAACCCCAGGCTGCACAGCTATCACCTTTTCATCATTCACCATTAGTCCTGACGACTCACTGATGAACTATCTGCACTAAATGAATTGAGGACTATACGCCTGAGGACTATGAATACTGAAATGCCTAAAACATCTAATTACTGCATTACAAGAGCTAAACTTGTTTGTGTGCTTTCACTATACCTTGCCAGACTTCATCATATTTTGACATCCTTTAAACTTAAAATAAACTTGGATTTTCCTGGACTATGATGTCACTTTTTCAGGTTAATTTCAGTAGCAAGTTTTATGCAAAATAACTGATGCATACTCTCAACCCCAAACTGATTGTACCATGTTCCACTGTGTTCTCTCACATGCAAGAGGGAAAGACAGTTGTAATTCCATAGATTTTATGTAAGTCCATGCACAGGTGAATTTTGCAAACTTCATTCAAGTAGTATTTGATTCAAGGGAGCACACTGCCAGCAACTTCAACATAGCCTCTAGGACATTCCAGGTAGATTCCATGCTCAGTAAAATTAAAACTACATCCCAGAAATAGAAGAGATGATAAGCAGGTGTTTAAAAACATTCTTTCCTTCTCTACCATATGACTTACAATATAATAATTGGATTTGCTCATAAAGATGTATGTTCCTGTCCTGCAACTACCTAATCCACAATTTTGGGCTACAGTTTTTTGAGGTTACACAGACTCTTCAAGAACAGTAAAGAAAGGCGAGTTTGCAAAGCCACGCTGAATGAAAAGTAACCCTGTAGATCAGAAATATAAATAGACTAATTAGAGAATATATAGTTGCTTAATATATGATGAGTCTAAGGAGAGCAGAGGTTATGGCCGCAAATATAAACAGATGGTTCAAAGAACTTAAACATTCTAGTTAGAAAACCGTGCCAGTTTCATGATGAAATACAGACACATCACCAGTTTTCCTTATCTGTAGGAAAAAACCCCACAACTTCCAGTCTACCAAACTGGAGTGAACAGAGGCCAATTAATTAATATTCATCCTTAATATTAAGAATTTCAGAGTGAATCCAAAGATGCCCCATTAGATGACATACTTACCAAGGACTCACATCAGGAACAGCAACACTAATGCAAAAATGTTTGGTTTGAATACTGCAACATTACAGAGGAAAGTTTATCCTGATCTCATTGATAGACTTGAGATAGAGTCAGCTGTTTCTCAAACTTGTTTCATTCTCCTGACATTATTTGTTTATTATATGAAGTATAGTATTTTTGCTATCACTGTGAATGATTTTTAAAAGATATTTTCCAGATTCAAAAGGCAAACGTAGTATTAAGAGGAACAACGAACGATGTTTCTTTATTACAGTATTCAGACTTCCATTTCATGAGAATGTATACTGAAAGTACTGATACAACCAAAGTTATTTTGATGATGCTAAAACAGCGTGGCCAAAACAAGTTCGAATTCTTATATACGAAATAACCAGATCTATTATGAATTGCATGTATGTTAAAGTTACTCATTTTTTGTGTCCAAAAATGATTTCAACTATCTTCCTTCATGTATGTGATATTCTTATACTGAACTCTTTAGACAACCTTGTAATACAAACCCCTTCCAACACTTCAACCCATCTCTCTGTGTGTTTTTTATTCTGTGTATCACAAGGAGTTCTACTGACCATGACACAAAGTTGATGACCAGTCCACTTAACTAAACAAATAAATAAGTTTTCTTTCATAAATCCAATGAAAATCATAATTAAACTAAACAGACCAAATTGGGAAATGCAATTGAATTATTTCTTCCTTGAGCAAGGGAATAAAATGGTTCTAATTTTTTTCTACCTTGAACCATAAGTATGGGCTCTTTTCCACCGCCGTGTGCCAGCATCTCTCGACGATAACGTTCACCCATTGCCCTGGAGAAACACAGATGTTACAGCCATCTGCAAACACAACCTGTTCAGCTTTCAGTCACATTTGCTTCTACGTTCTCTACAGAACTCAGAAACAGAGATCAAATGAAATTTTCCACCCTGAAACAATGACTGCCTTGATTCCATGCTGACTCCTCAAATTCAAATTATATTTAAAATTATATTACGAGTAACTGAAGTAAACAAATTTTATACATATGAATATGTGTTGGTGTTTATAGAAGTTAATTTGAGAACGATATTTCAGCCTTCATTGCTCAAAAGGGAAAAGTCGCTCTGTTACAATGCTCTGAACATTCATCTAAGGTATAAGAGCACTTACAATTCGTGATCTCACAATTTACTTTTTAATTTCACAAAGCAAAATGAGTAGGATAGCTATACTTAGCTTTGAAGTTGGTGACATGAAGCTTGTTTAATACCCACAGTTGCTTTGATTTCAATAGAAAATTACAAGTAATTAGGCATCTACGAAAATCAAGCTAATTACATCTAAATGTGGATTTCAGTGCCTCCCAACTGGCACACCTGTATTTTAAAACATCAACGTGAATTTTTTTGCACCAATGAACATATCCCAAAGTACACTTTATACTTGTGGTTATTTCCTGGTTTGTAATCCTCTTAAAATCAAGAAAAAGGTGAGAAACTAAGTGTCATTAAAAAAGCCCGTCAACCTCCGTGACCCCATTTGTTTCATGTTTTCCAAAAACAAGTAGCACGACACTTCATTCTACTTAGTACTTTCTGGTTTTACCTATCAAACGGGTCCTGAGCAAAACACTGTTTCCACACCATGGAGGCAACAGCCCTAGACATGAGGTAGGAGTAATATTTGGCACCGTAGCCCACAAGATGACTGAATCGCAGCTGCCAGGCCTGTAAGGAAAAAACAAACAAAAATCAGAACAGAACTAATCTTTTAAATCCTTTATATTGTTCAGCATTTTCTGAAGTATGATGGAAGAAATCTGATACTATTAATGACAAACAGTGGAAAAAAAAAAGAAAAAAAGAAAAAAAAACAATGGCCACCAGAAATCTCAGAATGAACACATCCTTTATTACAAAAAGCATTTCTCAACCTAAATACTGTATATCCAATATACTGATCATCACAGTTGAAATTATACATAAATAAGGTCAGAAGGAGAGAAAACCAAGCAGTAAAAAAAGTACTCATATTTGGTAATAGCTGTGTTGTTCTACTGGTCTTGAAAGAAAACCACAATTACCTTATAACAAAAGTAACACAACATTTTACCATTTTCCATGTGGGTAAGTGCAGTGTCATACCTGGAAAAGTTTAATCTATAAACTTTTTCCACAAACAAAATTATTATAAGGCCTTGCCTTTAATACTGTAAAAATTACAGCTTCTCATATGCAAAAAAACTCAGAGGTAGACAAATTACATCCAACATGCAATGTCATTGTTCACAGATTTGTTTGCACATTTTTAAATGCATGTATGTAACAGATTATCATCCGTAATTATATTGTTATTCATTTATGTATTGTTACTTGGCTTTATGACGCATTCCAGTGATGGTGGACTCCTTTTTTAATGCTGTTTGTTGTTGACTGTTTACTTATATTTTCTTAGCAGAGAAAATCAGAAGTATCAGCCTTACTTCCACAGAAATAAAAATACTTTTTTTTTTCTTTCCCTGACTGTAACAGAGGAATTTAAATTGGGAGAGAACTCCAAAGGTCAGCTGGTCCAACCCTTGCTCAAAGCAGAGACAACTTTGATGAGGTTTCTCAGGGCTCTGTCTACAGTCTCAGTATCTCCAAGGATGAAGATTTCATCACCTCTCTGGTGCAATGTGGAAAGATAAGCAGGTCCAAGCTGAAAAGACATTGTTCCCCAACAGATTTGAGAGTATTTTTTGAACTGAAGAGGGATGAATGTACTGTTGAAGGAGTGAGGAACCTACTCTGCCCTTTCGGCTCTCTGAGGAAACCAAAGAGGAGACAAGTCCCATATCTTATTTGTCCTCCTATCCAAAGTTGAAGCTCTTAACATTCTTGTGATATGACTGTTGTCAACATTTTTGTAGGTACTACAGAAAACAGAGTTTTAAAGAGGAACTAGAAGATAAACAAGAAAGTAGCACAACAGATGTTTTAAATTTAAATCCATGGGCTGTCAGATGCTTATTCTTATCCTACAGTCAATGGCTGAAATTCTGAGGCAGCCAAACAGAAAAGTGAGGGGGCATTAGCAATTTTCCAGAACTATTTATCTTTGACTGTAATTCTTTATCACACTGTAAGTAACAATCTCCTGATTTTTGACAGCTGAAATAAACTATGTTTCTTTATTCAAGAAAGTGCTGATCAGCATCTTATTCTCCATTAGCCAAGTCAAATACATATGTGTATATTTAAAAAAAAGACCAACTGAGAGGGCAGAAAAAGAATTAGGCTTTTAATCAGTCTTTTTACCTTAAAAAAGATAGCAAACAGCGGTCTATAATCTAGACCATTGTGAACAGCTGATTGTTGTTAGCTCCCTTTTCTGACCAACACCTATAAATAAAGTTCTCAAAGTTAGCTGTCATTCAGCTATTCAAAAGATACTTTTAACAAGCTGGTTATCTCCACCCTAAGACAGATGGTGTCCAAAACAGATGGAATTTGCCACAGGTGAGCAATCCAGCCTCCACTGATAGCCTACACAACTAGTTTAAAGTAGGAGCAGCAAAGTTAGAGAAGATGAAAAAATGTCTCCAGACTTCAATTTTCCTGGAAGTCTGGATGCATGATGCAAATTCTTAAGAATTAGTAACTTTTTTTTTCTTTTAAGTAAACACCAACTGTACCATATCTCATTGTAATGCAAGAACGCAAAAACAATTAGCTTGGATACAGATTCTCCAGTTTGCTCTGAAAAATATTGTGGTTGCTGTGTTTATACTTTATAGCTATAGTTTTTCTTACTAGTCCCTTAATTATAACCATAATCACTAAACTAAAAGCACATTTTTAAACAGATCAGAGAGCCTACACTTTTAGAAGACTGAGCAGGGAAACATGTCAGTTTTCATTTTATTGTATAGTAAGTTTTCAAAGTTAGGATTAAAAGTTTCAACTTGAAAGTACAACTCTCAGGAATGTGGAAAGCTTTACTGATAAATTGGTTTCACATACTCAGAAATTTAAATAATTTCCAAATAGATAATTTCAGTGAAAAATCCAAGCTGCTTTTTCTGCTACAAACAAAAATACTTTCTATGAGCTTGACATAGGGAATAATATTTCTTCCTCTCCCATTAGAAAGGAATTATTTTAATGCATCATATAAGCTGTAACTAGGACAGTATGTCTTCCTCAACAGCTCAGATTACATTGTTCACATCAAATGCTCTTGCATTTAATGGTCTGCACCTAAACCAGCTTGTCTGCACTTCCAGGAAGATCAACTATTCCACTCATCAGATTTGTTGACACTCTCTATCACAAGTATACAAGCAGGAAAGAACATCTTCTCAGCAACCTGACCAAAACCAAAAGCTTGTGTAAGAGTCTGCACCTAAAACAGGCCTCAGTACCCTCTGTTCAAGTATAAAACATTTTGTTTGACCTTGTCTTTGTTAATATACTTAAGTAAGAAAATTCACATTGCTTCCTGTCAAAAGAGAAAAGGAAAGGATATATATATATAAAGACCAAGGAAAGACACTGCTCATTTCTCTCCCTGCATTTGGGGAGGCTCTCAAATATGATGAAGTTGAGAATTCAAAAATTCATTGGCAACAGGACAGTATCCAAAAAAGGAAACAAAAATAGAAGATGAGTCAATCCATCTAAGATAGATGCCTAAGACAGATGAGATATAGATGACTCTTTTTTTCCCTCACTGGAATACATAAGGAACATACTTTTAGATAGCTCAAGTTATACAAGATGACTACCAGCCCTCAAAGGCATACTGCAGCTAAGGTTGCTTTCAAATTACAAACAGCAGTCAAGGAAATCTGATTATAAACACTGCTATTCCCAAGTGAAGCTTGAATCCTATATTTGATTTCTTTTTTTTTTTTTTTTTACCAGTACAGATTTTCCCCACTCTAAACTCTACTATGTCATCGCTCCCTGTCACCATTTTCTTCTCCATCCTCACCCAAAGATTCTGATCAGGAACTCCCAATCTTCAATATTTCACCATTACCCAGTACCTATTACATTACTCAAGTACATTTTCTGACTCTATGCTGTTCTAGCAATTAACTTTCCAAAACTGGACTTTGCTACCTGTAAACAAATATTTAAACATTAAGACACATCCTCTACCCTAAGGAGCTACCTGCCTGCATTAAAAAACTCTTCCTACTTTATACAGATGAGATTATGACATACGTAATAAAACTTTCAAAAGCCAAAGACTATATAGGCTAATACTCCTTTAAAAAGTTCTACGATCAATAAAAAATAAACATTTCACTGTAAGGGTATTTAAAATCAAATGGTTCACCTTTTTACATAAAACTCCATTTTAATAAAACTAGCTATAGGTGCAAAAATGATTTGATGTGCTATTTTCAATGCTGAATGATTTCTAGGTATTTCAATAAAAAAACAAACAAACCAACAATAATCCCCCAAAAATATCATTTTCCCTTTTGGAAAGGGTAAAGGCTAGACATGTAGAACTAGGGCACTCTCCTTGTTAAATGTGATATTTTTGGTAAGCAGCTAGAAAGTTAATGAAGACTCTGAATAATCACTCACTTCAAAAAGTTCCATGAAGCCATTCCAGGAGTTTATAAAACAGTGCATTTTACAGCATAGCCCATGGGTTATGATAATATGCCATCCACAGGTCATGTTCATGCCTGCTTTTTATCAAACACAACAGACTGAAATAAATGTGTGAGACTGATCCACTGCAGTTATTAAAGGGGTCTTTTTCCCACCAACATTAGCAATCTTCTCTTATAACCATGTCTGAAATATTTCCAAAATTCCACACGCAATGGCTTTCCATCTCATCTTGTAACAAACAAAAATACCTCACTGATACTTTTGTATTCTTACACCTTATCAGGATATTTTAAAAAAGTCCTTGTAGGATACATTCTTAGGGTAAGATTCAGTTCGTTTTACTTTAGCTACCTCAAACTAGGCATCTTGCCCAAACTAGTCATGTAGGCTTCCTTTGTAGTCAGAGGACAGAAGTATTTATCCTGTTATCTTTGGAGAGGAGAGACTACGCTCTAAGAGAAATTTGAATAATTTACTACAACTTCTATCTTCTAGTTAAAAGTTAAGCCACTTAATTCATTTTAACAATATGGTAGGATCAACTGCTTTGAAGACTACATAAACTAATTTAGGATTCAATTATTTGAATTCTAAATTTAGAAGTGTTAAGATTATCACAAAAATAATACAATAAAAGAATTTAGATGTGATTCTAAAAAGACAAAAAGGAAAGAAAAAAACAACAGGTAACTTAATATATACTAACCTAGCTTTTGTTTGAGCGTGGGTAATCATTGTTCCATAGAGCTACACTAATTACATGTAATCAGTGCTACAGAATCCTACTACAACTATTGGAAAGGAAAAAAAACAAACCAAAACAAAACCAAAACCTAAAGAAATTCTTGACTAGTGCTTGGACATTTCAAAATGCTCTTTCAACAGTTTCTGCTGTGACTTCAGTTACTTCAAAGTCTATTTAAATCCATTTTGCTTTGCATCTTAAGACAAAAAAACGCAAGTGAGAACCTGAATAGATCCAACACTAAATTAAGAGAAGTGTTTCTGTCATTTAAGTCTTCTAATTACAAAATGAGTGCTACAGTAATTACATCAATGAGCAAGTTGTTGAATAGTTTCCATGAGAAACATTTGATGGAGATGATATT